GTTTAATAATATAAATTTTATAAAGGTAATAATTAAGTATTCTGTTAAAACTCAATTATTATCCTAATTATATTTTAGATTTTTTATATTTAAAATAAGATGTTTATCTTGTATTTGATTATGTTTATCTGTAATTAGTTAAACGAATTCGGATATGGAGCTTTAATAAGTTGTACTTATGCACAATCTACTTGCAATTTTGATTTTTAAGTAATATGCATTAATAAACAGTGCCTTACGCATAAAAAATGGTTTTTAAGAGTTTTTGTCAAATTCTTTATAATATAGTATAGATACATCTTTTCTTATTTATTTTAATCAAATTAACAACTTAAAAAATAAAGAAATACATCAAACATAAAACAAAAGTTCAGAAAAGAATTCATCAACTTTCTAAATTATATATATCATAATTAGGGTGTAAAAGATTCGAACTTTTAACGAGTTATTGAAAATTCTCAAACTCGAGTCAATCTCAAATACAAAATAAAACTCATTTAACTTAACGATTTATTGGAAATTCTCTGATTCTTTTGGAAACTCGATTAAATGGGCCCTCATAATTTACGCCTGTGAAATATTATTAGTTTACTCCTAAACTAATAATACGCCAATACTTGAGGGACCATTTTTGTTATTTACCAAACTTATGGATAAGGGAAAATCCATCACTCTATCACTCACCATTCCAGTTGACAGATAAACAAACCCACAAACAACATAAGCAAAAACCAAATCAACAATCCAATTCCATGGCCACCATTTTCTCACCTTCAGCCCTCTTTACCACCACCACCGGCGCCGCCGCATCCTCCTCCTCCTCCTCCACCACCTCCTCCTCTACCACCCCTTCCAAAACATCATCTCTAACCAAACCCCACCTTCCCATCCGATCCACCACCAAACCACAATTACCGAACTTAACTACCACAGCATTAACCGCAACCGCGCTAGCTGCAGCCACCATCATAGCCACCACCACCACCATCATCCCTCCTGCCCTATCTGCTGAATCTTACGCCACATATTACGGCACTGCCGCCAGTGCCGCAAACTATGGCGGCTATGGTGGAAACTCCGACAAGAAACGATCCGCTGAATACATTTACGACATCCCAGAAGGATGGAAAGAGCGGCTAGTATCAAAAGTCGAAAAAGGAACCAATGGAACCGATAGCGAATTCTACAACCCGAAAAAGAAGACCGAAAAAGAGTACCTGACGTTTCTCGGTGGGCTCCGGCAGTTAGCTCCAAAAGAAGCAGTTCTAAACAATCTGGCGCTTTCGGATGTGAATTTGCAGGATTTGATTGCGAGTGCAGATAGTGTGAGCTCGGAAGAGACCAAGGACGAGAACGGGCAGGTATATTATGTATACGAGATCGATAGCGCGAGCGCGCACAGCTTGATCTCGGTTACGTGTGCCAGGAACAAGTTGTATGCGCATTTTGTGATGGCACCTGCAGCAGAGTGGAAAAAGGACCAGGAGACGTTAAAGCACATCCATGAGTCTTTCAAGACTGTTGGATAGAAAAGAGTTCAATTTTTGAAATTAATAGCGGACCTCCGTGCGAATGTGATCATGCATACCCATAAGTACATTTGGCTTTGGATGCATCAAGTGTTTGTACCATGCATTATTACTGTACTAAATCTAATGCATGACAAAGTAATATAAATGATGTCTTCACTGCATTCTTACTTCAGGATAAATGATGAGTTCAAATCAAGTCATACTTCATCAACTTCAAATTTTAAATTCTTGTGCATTTTTGTAGCTAGAAGAGCTTACTTAGACTTGCAAAACTTTTGGAGATGTAGCTCAGTGACCTTCTCCACTCCAGAGGCTCTTTTTGCAACCTTCTAGTGTATTTTCAAGTTTTTTCTGGCTGTTTTACACCAGAGGCAGAAGCTTATTAACATCAGGGCAGGTCATGGAGTTAATTACGTTTAGAAGGTTATGCTCGTAAATGAAAACTCGTTTAAGGTCATTTAACCAAAGAATCCACACAGTTCAACCTAGAGTTGTATGTGGATATTTGGAAAGCTACATATCCGACCTAATTCATATTTCAATTAGAGGTTCTTATCTACATCAGCTACCATGGACTACTCTATACGAGATTTATCAATATAATGTAACTTTGGTTAAACTATATGATTTAAAAATGATGTAGTATATTTGATTATTTGTTAAGCAAGCAAGAAGTAGTATATAGACCAGATCAAATCAAACCAATCGAACCCACTATATCCCACTTGAATATAGGTTTTGGGGTAGGATGTACTCAGGCCTGTCCTTTACAAAGGGCACAACAGCTATTTCAATGAAAATGCCGGCACATACAAAAGTGTGAACAAAAAGTTGTATATATATATATATATATATTATATTTTTCTTCATAACTAAGCATAATATAATTCTACTAATTGTCATCAATTATTAGACAACATATAAATGTGAATGACATCAACATCCATCCAAATCCGTATATGATAAAAACAGATAATGTCAGCATCGGGTAACAATGGATGCACTGATGCAGATATAGCTATGAACAAATCTGATCGGTATTCATTCACCCCCCCCCCCCCTTTTCTTATTGTAAGCACTCGGATGGTGAGAAATACCAAAATATACCAGAGAATAAATAGAATAACTCACCAAGTACTAGTTGGGGTGGACTAAACAAGCATCCAAAAAAAGTTCTTGAAAGGCCTAAACAAGTCTACCCAGCCTAAAATTTATAGAAACTGGTTACTAGTTATGATAGTAGATACAATTAAGAATGATGTAGTTTCATTGTCTAACATGTTGCTGTCTAGTTTTTCTTCTTATAAAAAGATTGTCTTCCTTAAGGATCTTTATTACAGAATTCGCTGAATATGACAAAATTCTAACACCACCTTTGGATGTAGGCAAATTGTTGAACCAAACCACCTAAATATGATTTCAAGTTTTTTCCGTGTTTCCTCCGATTACCATTGTGTGTATGATTATTGATCCTAATAGCATGTTGCTGTCCAGTTTTTCTTCTTATAGAAGGATTGTCTTCCTTCAAGGATCTTTATTACAGAATATAATAAAAATCTAACTTTGGATGTAGGCAAACTGTTGAACCACTTAAATATGATGTTTTTGTGTTTTTTTCTTGTTTCCCTCGATTTCCATGTGTGTATTCTATTGATCCTAATAGCATATGGAATCTCAAAACCATAAGCAGGCTTAAATGCACATTCAAGAGAAAACGGTGCCGTCGAGCTGCTTCACGCATTTGCAATTTTGCTTCCTGTGATGGAAATTTGAAAAGAACAATATATACGCATTCTATTGGCATAATATACACATTATAAACTGAATCATGCAATTCCATAAGGGCAATATGACTAATTAATATAAAGTAAAGCCATCATCATAGGAGACATGCCAACCTCGTTGACAAGGTGGTGCATTTTCATCATACTCGCCACAACAGCTCCATCTCTTTTTCCAGTTGGCCCTCCCAGTATTTGGTCGATCAGTCTTGTCGTTCCATTTGTACACAATAACCCCTGATCCATCACTCCATTCACCATCAATGCCTTGGTGGGGTGGGGCCAATGCAAATAGTCCTTTATCACCTACAAATCAATCATGTTGTGATGTTACATCCATTCTAACAAAATATAACAGGGCAAGAATATTAAATCATACATCTTCAGAAACCCATGATAAGAGAAGTAGAAAGGAACAGCTTAGAGCAGGAAAGAGTCAAAGTTTCTTTATTACGTATTGGCACTACAAGTATCCCCATCTCGATCTAGTCATGAGTAGTCCTAGTCTGACATGATTTTTTTGGTGAGTACTATTTACAAGAGACATGTAAATTGCATATGCTCACTGGTATTAGTTGATTAATGACAGTTGTTACATCGTTCAAGAACGTTTACTACTTCCTTATGCATCTAGAGGATGGATTGTCTAAAAGAAAACCACTGATCCCTCTTTTCTTACCCTTTCCCTGCAAATGTCTCCAAAGTTTGAAAAAGATCGAACAAGTTAGCCAGGGAAGAGTAAGAATACTCAAACCAACCTCAATCGCATCGTCATACAGTAAGGCTATGATACTTGATACAACTCAATCAGCTTCTTACGTAGTCTCCCACCACCATGATTGTCATTATCCAGCCAAGGGTTTTTCAATAGATGTAACATTCGGTTTCCAAATAGAGTTGATCGGGTATTAAAGTAGTTTGGTAATGGAAAGTTCGGAATTAGTTTTTGGCATTCAAGGGTTAGAGAGGAATCAATTTATGGTTCTTTTCTTTACTTATATTTGAGTAATATAGTTATATATATATATATATGTATATATATTATGTGAATATAATAAAAATTGAATGGAAGGATGCATGGTAGGCACCCCCCCAAATAGAGTCGGCTTGTGTACTTACTATAAATAGTAAGTATGTGTGGGCAGGAAAAGGTTTCACACAATTTCATCCTACTTTTCATATTACTCCGGGTAAAATTGGGAGATCATAGAAGCAGAAGCAGATTTCAAAGCTGTGTTTTAAGGCAAAGGTGAGTTCCCTATTGCTTTGGATATATCTGGTTGTTATATCTTCACTATATATTTTGATAAGATTTTTACCATATGTTTGGTTCGAATGTAAAATATATTACTGCTACTGTATGCTTCATTGGCCATTAAACCTCCCAAGAACAACTCTCATCAGATAAGGCAGTGACCGATGAGGCTACTTCATCGCACACAAGGTCAGCCGGTAAGGACGCTTCACCGAATATGTATTGTCCGGATAGGACCCCTCACCGATCAAAGCTTGTCCTGATAGAACCCCTCACCGATCAAGGTTGTCTGGATAGGACCCCTCACCGATCAAGGTTGTCCGGATACCAAGTGTTGTCCGATAAACCACTTCTCCGGACATAGTGTTGTCCGGACAGAACATGGTGTTGTCCGATAACCCCTTCATCGGACAGAGTGTTGTCCGGATAAGAGTAGGTATTGTCCGGTAACCTCCTCTCCAGACATAGTGTTATCCGGATAGGACAAAATGATACCATAATCTCTTCAATAATTAAATATTACCTGGTTGACTACTATTAGATGAAATGGTGGTGTAACCGCGATAGATGGATTGGCGGTGTAACCGCGATAGATGGATTGGCGGTGTAACCGCGATAGATGAAATGACGGTGTAACCGCCATAGATGGATTGGCAGGATAACCAAGATATGAATTTTACATTAACGTTCAGGTTTGATCGATCTTGGGATTTGCAGTAAATTTTGTTTATAAGAGGGTAAATTTTACATTAACGTTCAGGTTTGATCTATCAAAGTTGTGTTTTAAGGCAAAGGTGAGTTTCCTATTGCTTTGGATATATCTGGTTGTTATATCTTTACTCTGTATATTTCGATAAGATTTTTACCATATGTTGTTTGGTTGGAATGTAAATTGTATTACTGCTACTATATGCTTCATCGGCCGAACCTCCCAAGAACAACTCTCATCGGACAAGGCTTGTCTAATGAGGTACCTCATCGGATAAGGCAGTGACCGATGAGGCTACTTCATCGCACACAAGGTCAGCCGGTAAGGACCCTTCACAGAATATGTATTGTCCAGATAGGACTCTCACCGATCAAAGCTTGTCCGGTTGGGACTCTCACCGATCAAGGCTTGTCCGGTTGGGACCTCTCACCCATCAAGGCTTGTCCGGATAGGAGCCCTCACCGATCAAGGCTTGTCCGGATAGGGCCCCTCACCGATCAAGGTTGTCCGAATACCAGGTGTTGTCCGATAAACCACTTTCTCTGGACATAGTGTTGTCTGATAACCCCTTCACTGAACAGAGTGTTGTCCCTATAAGAGTAGATATTGTCGGGTAACCTCCTCTCCGGACATAGTGTTATCCAGACAGAACAAAGTGATACCATAATCTCTTCAATAATTAAATATTACCTGGTTGACTACTATTAGATGAAATGGGGGTGTAACCGCGATAGATGGAATGGCGGTGTAACCGCGATAGATGGATTGGCGGTGTAACCGCGATAGATGGATTGGCAGGATAACCAAGATACAAATTTTACATTAAGGTTCAGGTTTGATCTATCTTGAGATTGCAGTAAATTATGTTTATAAGAGGGTAATTCGCTCACTAGAGCTTTTGGTCTAACCCTCAATTATTGTACTAAACTGTTTTTGCAGGTCATCCATCATCTCAGGATGAAGACAAGGGAAAGATGTAAAGAAGAAATATTTGGAAGAAAGTTTTATTATGACAAAATTTTTGTTAACCCATACTGTTAATTTTTCATATGTGAATAAACCTAGAATGTTTGTATAATATTGGTACTAGATATGTGGAGATGTATGATTTTTGATTATTAGTACTGTTTAGTGCATGGTGGGTTGTTTCAGTTGGTATCAGAACCTTAGTTTAAGAGATCTAGGTATTATCTTGATACTTAGACTTAAACTAGAGGAGTGGAGTATGTGATAATAGGTTCCACTGGGATTACGGACCTGGGAATGTGTTATGATTGAACCTATTATGATGATAAGTATGATAGAGTTAGAATATATGAGATTAATGTAATCTTGCATTACAACTACTTGATTTATGGGTAAACATGTTATCATACTTTGGTATGTGATTAACAGTATATGTATTTATTGTGCAAGTTAGGAAATTAAAGTAACACGAGTATTAAGAAAGAATGGCAGATAATCTCAATCAATCTGAAAGAATTTCTACTGGCCACGAAAGAGGCAGGGGAAGAGGAATGGTAAGTAGAGAAGAAAACCCTGAAAATGCTACGACCATGGGAGCACGAAGTCGAGGCCGGGGACGAGGAAGAGGAAGAAATACTCAACAAGAAGCCCATACAGAACAAGATTATCAGTACAAGAAAGTTCTATGTCAGGTCATGAAGAGGGCATAACAAGGGGTAGAGGTCGTGCTCATGACCCTGGTTTTATTACCCAAGAAATGTTGGCAACCGAACTAGGAAAGTTTCAGGAAAGTCTGGTAAACTTGCAGGGACGTTCTGCATCGAATAATATGGAAGGAGTGGAGAACCCGAGTTTTCATGAAGAATCCAGAGTTAGTACATCGGTAACGACCACATCCGCACCACCTACTTCATCGTCAGTACAAAAAGGAGGTGATATCAAGATGTATCTTGGCTGTAAACCCCCTAAGTTTTCGGAGAACGTGATCCTGTTAAAGCTATGTGTTGGCTTACAGAAATTGAATTAAGTCTACAGACCAGTAAAAGTGCGGAAGAAGATGCTTGTTGTATTCAGGTTGCGGTCAAGTGCGTTATATTGGTGGGAAATTCTGTCAAGTTCTAATCCTAACATTTTTTTTTTAACCTGGATATCCAACCCTCTATGTGAGCCGACTAATCCCAGGGCGACCACCTACTTTGCAGATAGCCCGGAGTCACCGCATTTGAACCTTCGTAGCCAGAAGGGGATTTCTATTCCTCCTTGGATTTGAACCTGAGACCTCCAGGTACTTTTGACTTTTGGAGCCAAGCTCAAACCAACCAGGCACCACCCTTGTGGTTGATCCGAACATTTTAAAGACAATGATGTGGGAAGAATTTGTAGAGAAATTTAAAATTCAGTATTTTCGTGAAGCTGCTGTTCGGAAGCTAGAGGACGATTTCCTTTGGCTGGAACAGGGTAATATGATAGTTCGCCGGTATATAGAGGTTTTTATGGAACAATCTCGATTTGTTGAGGCTTATATTGCTACTGAAAGCAGTAGAGTAAGGAAGTATATTTGGGGTTTGGAGTCTAAACTCCGAAAGTATGTAATATCCAGGAACCCGGCTACATTCCAAGCAGCAGTTGATGCTGCAGAAATTTTGGAACAAAATATCAATCGTCAACCACAAGGGTTGGGGTTAAAAGAAAAGGGGAAGCAGTAACAACTGATTTTCGTAGACCTAGATTTGCTGAAAATCTGAATCGTCCAATCTCAAGGTTTGCTGATAAAGTATGTGCACGATGTCATAAAATACACCAAGGAGAATGCAACATTGAGACCCGCACATGTTACAAATGTCAAGAGTCAGGGCATATAGCTAGAGATTGTCGAATGGTACGAAGATGCTTTATGTGTAATTCTTCTCAACATGTAAATGCTGATTGCCCGCAAACTAAGGGACGGGGATCTGGTTTTGTTGGGGGACGGGGATCTAGTTATGCCGGGGGGCCAGAATCTGGCTATGCCAGGGGGAAGTAAGACGTGGTGAGGCAATGGCTAGAGGGCGAGCCTTTCAGATGACTTCGTTAATTAAGTATGTGCCAAATTTGTTGGTTGCACGTGTTTAGAACCTAAAGTGTTAGATGAGGTATTGGTAGTAGAAACAACAACATATAGCGAAGTATCGGTGAAGGAAGTTTTTGATAATTGTTACATAATTGTAGAAGGGTGTGAGGTACCCATACAGTTATTTCCTATACCATTAAGAGAGTTTGATATAATCGTGGGCATGGACTCGTTGGCTAAAAATCAAGCCAATATAGTCTGCAATGAGAAGATGATTCATATAGATTTACTAGGGAAGGGACCATTTATAATCTACGGTGACACGA